CTCGACGAACTAGGCGAGCGACAGATTCAACGTGGTCTCGCCCGCGTTTCCTGCGTTCCTGGGCGTCCACCCACTTCTGATTAGCAGGATTCGATAGCAGAACTCTCTTCATGATGCCAAACTAGAGTGCGGACTCCGTGGTGATTTTTATGTTTGGTCATTACCCATGTGGTGATTTTTTTGTTAAACAAAAATCACCTTAATGTTAAGAGGTGAACGAAAATCAGAAAAAGGTGATCTTTTTGAGTGGCTTTTATTTTGTGAAGTACGGTAATCACTATAGATCACAGTTTGAATCTGCGCCAGCTCATGTACAGAGATTTACGCTTCAGCCATGAGTGGCTTCAAACCAATAACTATTAATCAAGAGTGGCTGAAATTAGACATTGACAGTTACGAAGTATAAATATGACTATGTTCAATATGGTCATCTTTGCACTGGTATTCTCCTATATATTTTTTGTACATAATCAACCAATGGGTGGTGTCAAAATCATAGATTGGAATGACGCCATTTGATTGGCAGAGACACGAATAGAGAGAACACCCCACCGTTGAAAAAAATCAGCAAAGTGACGCTTTTCTGCGCGATCGATGGTGTGAAAGGAAGCGCGTTCTCTGTGGACATCGACGCTTGCCAATTGGTGGATCATTTAAAGAAGGTCATCAAAAAGAAGAGGGAGTATAATTTTGCTGCGGTCCTATATCTCGCGAAGAAGGGTGAATCGTGGCTGACTGAGAATGAGGTAAAGGATAAAGTGACATAAGTGGCCTGAAACATCTTAGTGCGCGCGAGCAAGACTTTATCGCATCGGGTTGTCAAGACAAACACCGAGATGATCGTGCGCACATGTTGGACAAAGTCGACGAGTTACATATGACAAGGACGAGCGCCCAACCCCGTTCATATGCGTGGAAGGGTTATCAGGCATGGGGAAATCGCAACTAGCATTTGCATTGGGTGGCCGACGACCATATTTTTACTGGCTTGCCACTTTTCTTGGATCAACTCCCAGAGCCTCTACTAGAATTATTTTTTGATATATAATGCGTTTTTTGAAATGCTGAGGAACGATAACCCAACAAAGAAGAGTGAGGAGGAGATCTCGAACTCCAAGTCGAGTGTATATGAGACTGACCTGTTGTGGACGTACGGATTTATAAGGGCATATTGCAGCTTCGATGAGCACCAAAACGCGTTGCGAATGATTCGTTTCGACAACCAGACAATCTTGAAAGTGGAAAAACGCGATCTGAATAGTGTTTGCGTTGTGCTTCGTAAGATGAAGGCAGAGAAGAGAAAAATACCGTTCTTTGTTCTTGATGAGATGACTCTTAACGCTAAAATCGATGCTGGGGGGGAGCAGATGGCCACCTTGAACGCAACGTCTTTCGTGCCTGTAATTTTGGTGGTTGTAATAATGGGTACAGACTCGAAAATTATCAAGCTGGTTGAACAGGATGGAGAGAGCTACATCGAGCCGCACGAATGGACGTCGCTTGTTCCTCGATTTTCTCAGTATCAATTGATGTTACACAATGATCAAGAGCAACAAGGCTGGTCGAAAGCTGTGAGACCATATCCAGTCCTGCAAGACATTGCTACGCATTCTCGTTGGCGGTTTGCGAGGCATTTTGTCGACAAATTCGTGGAATGCGCGATATGAGACTGCACCATTAATCTATGCGATTTGATGGACGAAGCTTGTGCTGCTGTCAGCTTTAGCACACATCAGGCCAAGAAATTTCTGCACTCACAAGATGGGAAAATGGCACAGCTGATGGCAATATCTTATACCAACAGCGCAGAAAACCATGAAGACGCATCAAGAAAGAAATGCCGGGCGTCCGGCATGCATTTGCATTTCGCAAATCTGTTCGACCAGCAGCTGACTGATATAACCATTTCAGATGGAACGTTGGAAACGAGCAGTGGAGACTGGAGACCAACATGCTGCTTTTCGGCAATCGACGAAGACAGGTTGTTGTATCTCGCAATATTGGGTGGGAAGATTTTTCCAAGCTACTATGACCACGAATCTCTCAAGAACTACTCAACGAAGTATATCTTCGCAGTGACAAGAATATTCTCTGTCCATGAAAACACGAACGCTGTGTCTTACTACGACAAGGTATTCGAGAATATGGTTACACATGCAATCTTTTGTTCGTCTCGAAGGAATGGTGTACGAGGGATCCCATTTAATGACTTCTTTGCTTGCTTGCTGGGTGAATTTCAAGACAAGTTTTGGAAAAAGATGGACATGCACATGCATGGTCGGAGAAATCATCAGATTTGTCGTCAGTGATCTATTGAATGTATATTCGGTAGACGTCCAGCGTTTGTCGAGTACGATTATTCCCTTCCTCGCTCCTTCCAATGCATGAGGGGCCGGAGTGGATACTCGACCAAAACTCTTACGGGTGCAATTTTGGTCATTTGGTTCGTGCCAGAAAAAAAGAACGGTGTGATGTCTACGTTCAAGACGCGAATATCAAGAATGAAAAATCAATTCTTATGTGCGGGTGCAAGTACTGAAAAAAAAACGTCGATTCGAGTGTAATGGACCCATTATAACCAGATAATTGTTATTGATGGACTGAATCAGAAGTGGAAGTGGGAGGTCGCGTTTGTGTTTTGTATGACGCTGGCGAAGTTTCGTACTTGGAGGCATCGAAGCGTTGGCTGCGTCAAGATTAATTACCGGGATGGGAAAGTAATATGGATTTTCCAACCAGCTGAAATTACGGATCGACAACAACTTGTGATTGTGTTTGAAATCCCTGACGTGAAAATGAACGACGACATATCCACTAAAAGCAATCAATGCGAAGGCGATGGCAAACCCGCGGTATACAAGAATGGCGCGCACACGGCAAGCTTAGCAAAGTAAGCACTGCCGACCTTGCTGTCTGTGACTCATACTGCGCCTTTTGCATGTTGAAGGATTTTCGAGTGTATTGTAACTGTTGAAAAAATAATGAAGTACTCTTACCTAACATGATTAATAACACCGTCCATTCCAAAATTGTTCTAATGTCATTTGTATATTACGAAATATAAGAAACCTATATGAACAGATAGTTGAAGAATGGAGAGCTGGTTGAATCATGACGCGAGAAAAATGCCGACAAATTCAAAAGAGAGCAATCACGAAAGCTTAAGATCTGCCAAAAGAGCAAGCAGAGAAGAACGGAAGGAAGAACAAGTCGATATAACCTCACCTAGCTATTAGACTCTCGTGGAGAGCGTCGTTAGGATGTGAAAGTGGCAGTCAATATTTCTATCAAACATATAAAGGCAC